GTGCCAGTTTTTTAGAATGAAAAAGAATGAAATTAAGGAGCAGATTTTAAATGTGGCATGCAGAGGCAACACCCGCAAACAATCTATTACCCCACCTGAGAGCTCTCTGCATGGACAATGAATGCAGCAGCAGTCCAGCAGCACGGCTGAAGAAACCACTATGCGACTGAGGCTGTGGGGGTTTTTGTTGGCCGTTTGAAGGCGTCGGTACAAGACTGAGCCAAGTATTTTGAGCCTGAGTCACAATTTGAGGAAGTAAACAAGTCCTTGATTTAGACATGATCGCTGTTGATCGCCTGTTGTTTGGATGGAAATCATTTTGTTCCTTTTAATTTTTTTCCCCTTGATTCCCATATGATCCATAGTTTTTCTATTTATTGAAGAGGAAAGGATCAACAATTAAGACAAATAATGTTTATATACGTAACTGCACCGCCTTTTGTCTGAAGGTCTGTGTCAATCTTCTTTACATTAACACTTCAATACATTTAAAAAACAAAAATAGGCAACTAAATTAACCCCCAACACCTCGGAGCTTTTACCAGCTTGTCTTGAAGCACCTCATTCCACCGCAGTCAGAGCAAGTTAAAATAATCATAATAACAATAATGAATTATACTATTAAGCCTGGATCCATTCCATCCCTTCTTCACTTCCAACCCCCCTCCCTCGCTCTCCCAACTTCACCCCCCTTGACCCTACCTTTCCCTCACCCCACCCTTCCTGTCGCCCATTAAATCCCCATCTGACCTTCAAACAACCTTCAGCTTCCTGCTCTGTACCTCCACACCCCTCCTCCACGTCCTCCTGCTGCTACACTCCAACTCATTTTTTGTTCACCTGTCAACCTCTGTTATCCTCCAGTCTTTCACCTCCCTTTCTCCCCCGTTAAAACTCCCATTGGCCCTGCTTTACACTGGGTGTAAGAGAGGGTCCTAGATGCTTCCTGTAGATTGGACATTCATTTACTCATCAATATTTGCTTCTAAAAATCTACAAACTGATATAATCATGGTCATAACCTTCCACAAACTGTAATATAATTGTGCCGTTGGACCAGTTTTCAAAGTAAAAAGATGGACTATGCTTTTCTGTCCCATGTCTTCCTGGCTCTCCATCTCTCCCTGGGGCCCTGCTTGGTCGAGCAGTGGCAGAGCTGGCGCGAGGCCCTTGGGGCTTTGCTGGCCCCACCTGCATTTTGATGTAATGAGACCAGATGGGCTCAGGAATGGACTGGACGCATTAAAAGCAGCAAGGGGCTCGAAAATATAAACAGCCCTGAATATTTCAGCTCCGCACAAGTCAAGGGAAGATGAAGAGCAAGACAGACGTATATAAAAGTAAAACCTCCATGTTGTATGAATTCATGCTTTAAACACAAAGTGGAAAACAGCTAAAAAGAAATGTGCAAGAGAACGAGACACACCCAAATACAAGTGTGATCACACACATAGAACATCGGCAGTTTTACCGACACAAGATCCTAAAGAACTCAAACAGACACTAATGACGGTGAAAGTGAAGCCAGGGATATTACGGGAATGTTAACAACTTCGCTATTTCACGATGCCAAGCAAAACTCAATAAAACCGACCAACACCACTGAGCTCATTCCAACACAATCAGCACAGGAAATTTTCTCTGTAGACAAACTTCCACAGTGGCTGGAGCCCCGCGGGTTTCCCAGACGGGTTTACCAGGAAAGACAGAGCGACTCAGCAGCAACAAAGCAAGTGCATCTTCCAACACACCGGTGACCTTCAAACCTGAGGGGAGGATGAAAGATGATCACTTTGTCATTACTCGTCACAGCAGGTTGACATTATTATGACACAGGATTCGTATGAGTCACACCCATGACTTGCCCACTGCATGATGAGCGCAGCCTTAAACTTAACCTGATTCTGCACGGTGACGTTAGCGAAACTTGAGTAATGGCCGAGCATGACGAGCACAATCTGACAAAGATGATAGCAGCAAGGACACCATTGAGATCAAGTCATCGCTAATGGAAAACAGAGAGTGGTATTATGTGAATTATGAGTATCTAATTTGCTCTGAGGTAGTGTTAGCTCATCATGCTCATCATGACTACATCACAAGCTTTCCATATCTAGTTAAAATAACAAAAATAAACATAAAAATAGAATTTTTAAGCAAGTGCCCAGGCAAAAGTATTCAGATTCTTATTTTGACGTCACCTCCAGGGCCATTTAGCAGCTGTTCTTGAGGTTTCATGGAACCCTCCTCAGCAGATGGACACACACAAGGTCACATCCAGAACACATAAGGTACTAGTAAGCATTTAGTGTGGGAACCTGTTTGCTGATAGTGGGGGTTCAGCTGTTGTGCTGATGCTTCGCAACAATGTGTGATACTGGGTTTTGAAATTAAACCGACCACTGCAAGCACTATTTTTGCAGTACTAGGCAACTTTGTGTGGATGCATCTGCTTTCTTGTGTGACATAGTGTATATACTGTATGTGAAACTACAAATGTGTAATAAATATAGAAGGCTAACACTTCCTTTGTGCAGAGATGTCTACTGTTTGATGAAAAATAACACCTAAACCCTGATGTGGACACACAGGACATGACTACAGTAAAGACTGTGACTGTTCAAAAATCTTGCCTTGAGCATTTTTTGCCAGAGAGCCTCACTGAAATCTCATAAGTTGCTTTCTTTACTAAAGCAGGTTTGCACCCTCAACTCATGTATGTCCCAGGTTAGCTGGATCTAGGAAACACATGCTAATGGAGGAAAAACAAAAAGCAGACGTCAGACAACACAGGAAGCCAGCAAGCCAACCACAGACGTTGCAAGAGATGCGTTGTTTCCGGCGTGTACTGACACTTTGGTTTCTTCAAAAAAGCACCAGTGCTCTGCACGTTTCCACACACAGAAAATCCGAGCTGCTTTTAACACACATCACACACAACAACCAATCAACGTGAATGAGGTGTGTCTATATTCACATGGGGCACAGTGTGATGACCATCTATTAAATTCAATACAGCTCGGACCACTACAACAGCATAACGTCACTCTCTGCTGTTATTATTCCAGAGCTTTACAGCCTTGACTCTCCAGTGCAGATGCTGAGAATGTGTCATGTTAAATTAATGATCCAGGGGTGCCACGGAGTAGCCTGGCTGAAAAAGCCCTTCGAGCAGGTTTTCCCCTGCAAGGCAAATGAGGTGATGGGTTCATCTGTCTACTACAGTATCTGCTCTGTGAGAGAGAGCAAGAGACAGTAACCCAGCATGTGTGTTAGGTATGACCTGCGAGTCATTAGTGAATCCCAGTGGTGTGTTATGGTAGTGAGAGGACGCACAGGATCTTCTGTCTATCGCCCTGCGAGAAGCAGAGTCAGGTTTCTGGATCAATGAGAATCAATCGCAAGCAGAGTGAGTGCAGACTAATATATAAAAGGAAGGAAAATAATATAATAAAATAAAAAATGATCTGATGAGCGGTCGCAAGATCAAGAAAAAATACATCTTTCTTTGCTCATTTTGATTTGTGTATCAAATCTGCATTGTCCTCGTCTTGTCTGTTTAACACACACAACAACCGTTATATCTTCTTCTTCTTTCTGCACCAATTCATAGCATCCAAAACTTCATTCACTCTGAAGCGAGCCATTAAGAGGGAAAGAGACAGACACCAGACACCAGCGCAGAGCAGTGATAATGGATTACTGATGTTATTATGTTTCAATAAGGTCGCTGAACAACATCCTCTGATCCACAGCCACAAAACCAGCTCTCTTTGACCATCTCAGTGTGTGGGGGTGTGTGTGTGTGTGTGTGTGTGTGTGAGAGATATACATTTACAGTCTGTGTTACATGCATTAAGTCATTAGAAATGGGCAACCCCCCCAAGATACAATAAAGGAATAAAAATAATGGAGGTTTTTATGGCTTTTAAAGGGCATTTTTCTGCTGTAATATGTTATTTGTCATGTTATATTTTTAATTATAGAAAGAATGGATCCCTTTCATTGATAAGATCAATCTAATCATAAATAAATTACTTTTTCAAAGATTTATTAAAAAATATGTTCTTATCCCAACAACAGACCATACTTGAAATTTTTTTAAGGGATATATCTCAGCATGTTACCATTCATAAATATAAAAAATATATGCACTTTGAACAGATTATTAAAATCTGAAAAGTCCTATCAATAAATATTACAAGGCAAATTTCATTGATGCACAACTGTCTGAAAATGTACACTTCTGTTTATCATAGGAAGCTGCAAAGAAAGGTTTGGCTGCAAAATGTTACTTTACAAATGTTTTTCTTCACTTTATTCTTGTTTATTCTTTAATATTTACTTGGTTGCAGCTTTTTCTTTCAATATGTCAAAGTGGACTCTTAGAATGTTAGAACTCTGAATGTTGGTACTGTGCTTACTCACCATGTGGTGAGAGAGACATCGCATCACAAAACAGCAATGACAGTTAGAGGGACAACTTAAAAATGAAACCCTCAAGAGCCGTCTCATACCCGTCTCCAGGTTTAGAATTCAAAGCAATTTATCCTACCATTTGTTAACCAGTCAGTTGTTGCTCTCAGTGTGCAACTGTTATTTCCAGTTTGCCCCCTTCCTATCTACCCCCCACAGAGTCAGCAGGCAGCGGTTTGTGTGTGTGTGTGTGTGTGTGTGTGTGTGTGTGTGTGTGTGTGTGTGTGTGTGAGTGTGTGCGAGTGTGTGCGAGTCTGTGCGAGTCTGTGCGAGTCTGTGCGTGTCTGTGCGTGTCTGTGTGTGTCTGTGTGTGTCTGTGTGTGGCAGTCTTGAAATGACCCGCTTTTCCCCACACTGCCTGTTTCTAAACAACAGGTGCCTGAACTAGAAGTGACTCATATAAACACATTCACACAAAAGTACGCCAGAAAAATAACAGATAGACGTGGAAATATCCAGCAAGATGGGGCATAGCAGAGATAGACATTCTTGTGAGGAAAGTTTGATTCTGTGCGTCCCCCTACCTGATTGTTGACATAATCCTGAGGATGAGACACCAGCAGAAACATGAAAAGGAAAGACGGAGAGACACAGTCATGATCGGACGCTGAAAACTGTGTGTGTGTGTGTGTGTGTGTGTGTGTGTGTGTGTGTGTGTGTGTATACTGAGAGTGAAATGGTTAAATGAGAGCATTTACCTCTCATCTACATTCTCATTTGATAAAAGAAAAGAGAGAATGTCAAAAGCCCCATTCAGTCACTTAACAATGACCAGAGTAAAGTTTTCTTTCTTTTGTCCTGGCGTCCATTCTTGTTGCATTTTAATGCAGGACTATTGTAATTCTCTGCATTTCCATGGCATTTGCACTGTTCCACTTGTTTTTCTACCTGCTTCTATGGAGCACTGCTGCACGAGCACATCGGAGTGGTTGGCCTTTTCATAATAAACGCAGTCGTTGAGAAGGATGTGGTAGGATTCAGCAACGCTGAGGGCTAAAAATGTAATTTAAAAATGTGGAACAATCACCAGGAGACTCCAGAGGCAGATAGGGGTAGCAGAGGACACTAAAAACGCCCCCATTAAGCCCCTTTGTAATGCCCAAGGGGGCTTTGCATGAGCTGGGGAAAGTGTTTGTATGAGCGAGGTGCGGAAGTGTGTGTGGTTGTGCATGCATGTGTGTATGTGTGTGTGTGTGTGAGAGAACCAAAGTGTGGCTCCTGGTGATTAGTCAATGCTGCAACTGACACATTGCTGGTTCCAGTGATTCTATCAGAGGGAGGGAAACTTGACCTCACACAAAACGACACACACAGACTCAGTTTTGATACTTTCCTTACTCAGACTTTCTTTTGAGAAATCCCTCAGAATCACATGGTCTTACCAGAGACAGATTGTGTCTCCCTACAAAATGACCTTCATATTGTATTAAATATATAGGGGCCACTGTCATATGTTCTACATTAAAACCCTCTATGAAAAAGGCAGCAGTGCTTTTTCAACCTTTTCTTCATATATTTAATTAAAAAGAAAATACACTCCTTGAATGGATCTTGCAGTAAATATCATAGAAAGTAGGAGAATTTGACAAATAGAAGCTGAGGACACTTTACAACTTATGTCATCTGCCACTGTTTAGACTGAAAGCATTCATTAGTCAGACAGAGAAGAAGAACATGAACGTTTAGTAAAAGAAATCACATGTTCAGGGGGAAGCTCAGACTGTGGAAGCCTTGTTCTACATTAATCAATTGATGGTGAGGCGCCAATTTCCCTGAATTGCGTTCACTATGTAAACTCTGAAGAGGGTTAGTTTTAGCCTCTGCTGCTCGTAATGGTCTTATACTCCTACCGTGTTGTAGCTGGCAGGCTCTTGGCCATCCGTGATGAGTTCCCGCTCTCCCCGGGGGTTGACCCTCCTGAAGCGGCGTCTGGACCTCCGTTGGGACCCCTCTCTCTGCAGAAAACTGTCGTCCCCTTCGCTGCCGTTATCCACCTGCAATACAGAGTCAACAGCTTCCTCAGAATAGCAGCTTCTGAGGGATTTGCAGCCACAACCTTCGGGTGTGTGGGGACAGCTGGAGGACCGACCCTCACAGTTTGACACCTCGGAGCAGGGTTCCGAGCAGCTGCGTTTTAGTAATTCTGACTTTTGAATCTTAGGAACCAAGTTTAGATTTGTACATTCCAAGTTCTGGGTCTCAGTTTCTGATTTCTTGCTCTTATAATCCAAATTCTGTGTCTTCGCTTCAGAGTTCTTTAAGTCTAAGCTGGGATCCTTGAAAGCGCTCCCTTCCTTTTTCTGTGGCTCGGTTTCATGCCCTGGACCTTCTGAGATCTGGCCCGACTCTTCCACTGGTTCCTGGTTGAACATCCAATTCTTCCATAACACAGAGAGCCGGTGCCAGCGGAGCACACTCATGATGAGGCAGCGACGGCACCAGAACAACACATAAAAGCAGGAAATACCACAAGACTGGAGGAAAAAAACTGAAAGGAAACGCGCTGAATGCAAGTGCGGGTCCAGATTTTTAAAAAAGTCCAAAATCCTGAGGGATGCCCAAACAATAACATCCCACGGGGCATGAATCCAGAAAAACTAATAAAAGAACTGAATTAATTGAGTAAACAAATGAGGAAATACATTGAGGACAGAAAAACGATGGTTTCTTCTATTTTTTGGTCTGCGATTTGACGACAGTCATCCTCCTCTGAGCGCTGGACAGTTCAAGAAGGAGTTCAGCTGCTCAACACGTTGCATGCTCGCAGAGTTACTCACATGATTGCCTGCTCTTTCTCTCTAACCGTCTGACACACGCACAGCATACACTGAGCCCACAGTTTCCTGGAGGAAATCGTAAATACACAAATATCCTCACAAGGCAGAGAGAGAAAAAGACAGCACAGCAGATTCCGGCCATACAATTCATTCCCCATAGTTTTTTTGTTTTGTTACGATCTGTTTTTATTTTGAGGAGGAATTTGTTTTCTTTCACAACTGCACAATGTTTAGAGAGTCAATAGTTTTATTGACTCAACTAAGATGTTACTATTTTTTGTTCTGCTTTAAA